GGGCAGAATGTCTCTTTGCGAGTTTCACAATGGAGAGCAAAATTATAATTACTATTATTATATCAAATGACAGGCGTTTTGATTGTTATCATTAGCCCTTTAGTTGACTTCAGTCTTCACAGAGGGGAAGGAACTTCAAAGTGTAAAAAATTCAAGAGGGGGGGGGAAGAGTGTATCAAAGACGAAGGTAGATAAGGTGAAAAAAGGTGGGATGAGTACTGTGAAAGTAGTCGAATATGACATACAGTGGGGTCATGGTAGTTTGAAGTCAACTGCCAGGTAATAGACTTTTTTGCCGTATGAGTATACGTTGCCCAGGGTGCACCACGTGGGGGTAAGTCTATCACACACCCCATGGAGAGAAAAATAATAGATTGCAATGCACTCTCTTACATTTTGCCTTACAAGTATTTAAATCTTATAATTACAACTTTAAACAGGCGTTTTGAGGGCGCGTACCAGTTTTAGGTATGCATAAATCAACTCAAAAAGAGGTAGAAATGAAAGTTGCTAATTTTTTTTTCGCTTTTAATGTTTCTTCCCATAGGGTAGGGATTTGATGCAGTATTGGTGCCTTTTAACCCATTATCTCCCAAGACAGTTAATTGGCGTTCCAGTTGTTAGCTACATTAATTAGATATGTCCACGTTTTACCTAGAAGTTCTTTAAATTTCAATTCAGCTAGTCTTAATGGATTACTAAAAAAATTGATCGATAAAGCAGATTTCTCCAGGTTTCATCAGCCTTTCCTAGGCCATCACCTTTAATGTATTGAATTTATTTGAGTTTCTTTAATAATAATAATCCATTTCTTTATCCCAGATTGATCGTTTTAAAGAGCCACCAGCCTATGGATCAATGTGTGATCTGTTGTGGTCTGATCCATTGGAGGACTTTGGCAATGAACAGAATACCGACAACTTCTCCCAGAACTCTGTTCGTGGTTGTTCCTACTTTTTCAGGTCAGTATTAGTGATTACTCTACGTGTCTGAACTCTAATTACTTTTGTGCACGAGTATAAAGCTTTATCTCCATGGATCTAAGCTAGCTTACTAAGTTAGTTTTGGGTGCAGTGGTCCAGTTCTTTGGACCTGTAAGAAGAAGCCCTGTAACTCAACAACCGGTTAGTTTTATCAAAGAACTATTAGGACTTAGATAGAGTTTGAAAAAAAGGGTATTGATATGCTGTCTGATTAATAAATAATCTGTTGTCTTCGGGCATGCATGTGGAGTATACTCTAGTCGAAAACTCCGTGCATGAGCTATGAACTCTTATCGTCAAACTCTATCAATAGTGTTCACCGAAAATATTCGAATTGGATTTTTAACGAGTATCAGAAACTGAATAATGGCTAATATGTAACAGTGTAGTGCAGCCAATCTCGTCGTCGTTATCAGTAATCATCAGATTTGATTAGAAGTCGAAAGCGGGTACAAATGAAGTGAAATAGATGTGAATTTTAAGAGTTTATACTCTCCCCAAACGGTCATTGAAGTTGATTTCTCAACCAGAGGCTTCAGAATGTCTTCTTCCCTCTAATCGCCACTGAAGTTACTATGCCCTCTGGGAAAGTGCAAATGAATTATTAAATTATGGGAACTAAGAGAATGCGTGCTATTCGTCATCAGGAATCTGTAAAAGTTTCCACATTGGTAGATAATTATTTTTAATTAAGCGAAGTTTGGTATATTCGTTGTGTGGCCACTTAATACTCTTTTAATTGTGCGCATTATTATTGTAATACAAACGGGACAAGATATGGAGAATTTCGATCGAATATGACGTAAATGGAAAATGAGCAGCTAATTCATCCTCATCGATGATAATCGTCATCTGTTTACATGGTGGCAGAAGAGGTGAGGAGAGCAGAAGTAACAGATGGTGGACAAGAGATAGAGTGGGAGTGGACGTTATATGTTTTGTGTTTATGCTCGTTTGTTTATGCTTACTTACACATACAACATGTTTCCTTGCGAACATATATATATATATATATATATATATATATTTATATATATGGAGGGAATTAAAATGTGAGCGACAAATGTCGCTAGGATTGAGCAGCAGTAGCAGAAGGAGAAAGAGGACGGTGGTGGTGGCCAGGGTATTAGGCCCAGCCAAGCGTGGATTAATGAGTATTGTTCACCTACCCCTCTGCTCATCTCTCTTCTCTCCCCCTAACCCCTGCCCATCATATTGCGTGCGCACTAGCCAGCGTTCAGTGCGCTTTTCGTGCTCTCTTTGAATAATTGAATTAATGGTATCGCCCGCACCCCCCCCCCCCCCACCCACCTTTCCTCCCCTATTTATATCTGCCTGCCTGGTTGCTGCGTCATCTCTATTGAGCAGTAGCAGCCCCTTCGCTCTCCAGTCCAATTTGCTTAGCATCTCGTGCGTTCACTAGTTCGATGTGAGCAAATAGTATACGTATGAGAAAAAGTGAAATCCTCTCCTCTCCTCTCCTTCTTCGTGAATGGATAGGTGCTTAGACCCATTTAGAAATCGCTTTCCAACATTCCTCTTGGCTATAGGTGTAACATCATATTGACTCCTAATATATTAAAATTGTTTCTGACTTGATTTGGGTTGTTGGCTATTCTGTTCTCACTGGATGGACATTGTTTTTGGATCTACAGTTGTATACTTGGCAAACGAGCGAGGTAACTGCTATGTCTCTAGTGCATTCATAAATGAATTCAGTTGTAATAACTGCATTCACACACTGACACCACTAGCTTTAGACAGATATCAATGGGGGGGGGGGAAATGCGGGGGTTGTTAAGGGTTTTTCATTTACCACCACTCGTACGTACGTGGCATATGACGACAGCGTTATGTGATTATTTTTATCCGTATATCATTGCTCTTTCTCTATCTTGACTTGTAGTTACTCGGCTTGCTGTGATTTCCTTCAGGCGAATAACCTTCTTTCCATTATCCGGGCTCATGAAGCACAAGACGCAGGGTATGTTCTTTGCCCTTACACATTTTTGTTTAAATTCTTACACCTTGTTGTTTGAATGGGCTTAATGTCTTCCCCAATCATGTTGTAGTTGCACATTTTAAAGGAAAGACGTAGTCTAGCAGTCGAATGGACCAATCGCATTAATTTTGACCAGAATAGTAGAGTAGAATCTACTTCATGTTGAAAAGGGGTGTTGGAACTTATGATGCCTTGTTTTACAAGTTACTATCGGATCGATAATCTAACCCCTCCCACCTTTTTCAAGTTGTTGACTTTTGATAAACTCTATTGCATGATCCTTAAGTTAGCTATTCTATGCCATGTGCTATTGTTGAGGGGGGTGGGGGGAAGAGCGAGTTATCATTAAAGAATGCTACATTTTAACTCCAAATTTAGGAAATTTTAGTGATTTGGTTTTTGGGGATGAATTGCTGTCTCTAATATGATCAGGGCTGAGTTAAAATGCTTGCCATTTCCCCCGTCAACTACTGTTCCCTCAATCCATTATATTCCTGTGGTTTCACCGCATCACCATGATTCCGATGTCTATTTAAATGAATTTTTTATCTTATCATTAAATTAGCTACTTCATAGGTATGCAATATAACCGTAATTAGCTGACAGTGGAATTACTTGGCCAAATTGAATTAATTACACTGTATTTGGTCAGATTCCGTTGGATTAAGACAGACTTGTAATCCTAATGACTATTCTAATTGTTTTGAATATCTGTGAGTCAATTGGCTCCCTGTTTAGCCATTGATATGGCAGCAATCAGATATCAGGTCATAGCCTGAATGGGAAAAACCCAATTATATTTAAAAACACATTGGTCTCGTATTCATATTATCTGTCGTATATAACACATATGTGCATCAGTGCATTACGGAAACTCCTACCTAGGTTTTCATTAAATAGACACAATTCTAATGTGTTTATAGTCACTATATTTGCTACAAATAATAAGGGTGTTCTACTAGTATCTGAATGTTCTAAGACGCTTGTCTCTTAAAGGGTGCACACGTAGTAATCGACTCTTCGTGCGGATTTAATCGACATTCTTTAATTGGGAAGATTTGCTTGGATCATTTTTTTGTTTCTAAATCAAGGTTGTTGAAATTCCTTCTCTCTGCATTTTCGATACTGTAATTAAAGTCACATAACTGTAACCCGCTAAGGTCGAGCGGAGGAGTTAATGTCGTTCTATTTTATGTGGTGGGTAAATGTTTTATGGCTCTGCATTTTCTGTTGATTGGAGTCACACGATAAGATGAAGAGCGAGCCTTTTCTACTTGACTTTTAATCGGTGGTTGAAGTGGTTTGAACTTGTTGCAATGTATTAGTGGAGTTCAAATTCTTGTACTGCACTCTGTCCCATTTCACTGCTAGTGGTTTCCCAAACGAGTGGAGAAGAATTCTTTTCTTCAAAACTTATCTTTTTTTTGCACTGGGAAATTATACTTTAGGAAACGCTGAAAATTAGTGAAGTTAAAGTCTCGTAAGCTAGCACCATTCTGATATTTTACTCACTACAAAAATTGGCTTGGAGTCCTCCTGAAAAGTACTGTTTCGGCTTATTGAGTGCAGGCATATTTAACCAAGACTCATACAAATGTCTATCAGGTTAAGGTAGGTGTTAACAACACTCTTGAATTGGAAGGAGGTATTGTGGCGTCACCCCTATGACCAACTCACATTCTGTCAATCCCTCCTTGTTAATCGCAATCAGTCAGGGCTCATCCACATCAATCAACAAAGGTCTCATAATCTTTGACTCGGAAGACATAATATGATCTCTACGTCAAAAGCTTAGAATTCCTCTTAGTTACCACTAGTATTGACTTTTGCAGTTGTTTCAGACGGGTCTCATGGAAGCCATCAAGGAGTTTGGTTGGTGTAAAACCGGAAAAAAAACTATCCGTGTTACAAATGATGTGTTTCAGTAAGGAGATTATTGGCTTATACGAGCATTCGGGCATGAATTTTGGATTAGTTTGCTTTTCTAGTCGAATAAAAGCGTTGGGGAATGCCATTACCAAAGTTGAGTCGCATGAATAGTGGTAGGGAAATCGTTCCATTAATAATTAATCCAGTTCGCAGAATACTTAATAAGACAGTTAATAAGCCTAGAATGTCTCCTTTTCCTTCCTGATATGCAGATTGGGCAGTCATAATAGCCTTTCACCTTCTGTGCGTTTTCTAAGTTTTCCCCATGTGGAAACTTTTTCACTTGTTTTAAGCTAACATTTAAAATTCTGTTAAATGTTAATACATTAAAGATGAATTGACCGACATTGTTGAAGTCTTCTAAGGGTAAATCTTAAAAATGAATTTGCAAATGTGAAGGAAACCCACTTACCATGCTATTCGAGCAAGCTTATTAACAGTTAATCCCTTATAAAGACGCGCTGATTGCAGAGATAGTGTTTGGACCGTTACTTAAATTTATGACCAAGTGGAGGCAAAGAACGTAAAGTAAAAGTCGTTGGAACGAGTGGTCTAATTGAATTGAGTGATTTATAAAATTGGCATATATCAAAGCTCACACTAGGTCATAGCTAAGGTAAATCAGTCAAGAAGCTACGAAACTACCTGTCCCTGATCGGGTTGTCATGGCTGACCAGCCAACAATGTAAAATTTCGTATCTAAAGTCGTGAAACTCTACCTCAAGGTTATTTGGGGGAAGATTAGTGAAGTGTAGAGCTGTTGGTTGTATGCGAATATTGGCGGACAAGAAGCGGGACTTTTGCACTATCGGTGTGATTATTATCCCTCAGATGTAGTCATCAACAGAAGCATTAGGTGCCAAATTTCCTGGTGATTTAAATTTTACAAAAGACAAAAGAACGTCATCATATCGTTTGACAGTGGTTTCAACGTGGATCTCTTCAGGGGATTTGGGAAAAAATCGACGGTCTATGTTATTTGAATTACATAGCGAAGAAGTAAGAATCCCTAATCTCATAAACTATTTCTTCCTTATTATAACCACTAATTGTTTATTCAGCCTTAGTTAACCAAATGGTACATTAATGAGATTTTTTACTGTCCTCAATTGCTTTTGCATGATTGGGATTTCAAATAGAATCCTATGCAATGTTCTTTTAGCAGATATCCATTTTAAAGAAAAGCAAACTTTTTAAAAATAGGGTACTTCTTTCCAATCACTCTTTGTGCTCGTTGTGCTCTTATTCTAGTGTTCTTTAGTAATATTACCTTTTTTGACTGCTTTAGAACACTTTTCATGGGGGTTATAATTTTGTAGGTACCGAATGTATCGAAAGAACCAGGCCACTGGATTTCCATCCCTCATAACCATATTCAGCGCTCCCAATTACCTTGACGTATACAATAACAAGGGTGCGTTTCTATTCTCTATTAACTTTCCCTTCTCCCGTTTGCATTCATTGAACCTCTCCCTCTCCCTCTCCCTCTCTCTCTCTCTCTCACTCTTTGCCTCTTGGTTTGCCCACCAATGTGACCGTTCTTTGGCCAAATGTAGGTCAATTGATTCTAAAAATAGCCATGGCAGTGGTAGGCAGATTTAGGCGGAAATTTGCTGTGTCGTTGTGTGTGTGTGCTGTATTTGTACGCTTGCTGCTGTTTTGTTAAAACCCTTTTCCTCCTGTGTGCTGTTCATGTGTCATATGGGGCTATTTATATTAGCGCTATAAGAGGATGAGGCGGGTAGAAATAAAAGAAAGAGAGAAAGGGACTGGAGGAGGTAGAGAGTACCGGCGGGGGGGGGGATTAAATCGTTGGAGCACATGAGTGAGTGTTGAATAATTGAATGCACGCGTCTTCACTGTTTTGAGGCTCCGATTGCTCCCTTGGCGTGCATAACTTGTCTGCCAGGAGACAGTGTCCTCTTTCTGTTCCTTCTGGCATAGGAAATTATCCTTTTGGCTGCTGCAGCTCCGAATAAAATACTCGTTACTTTGCTGCACAATTATTCCCAAGCAAAAAGATTTTTATGCTTTCATTAGAATTCTTGCCAATTTTCCCCATTTGGACGCTACTTCTTAGCGTTAAATGCTTAATGCTCATCGGTGCAGACGCAGTGAGGGTAATGGCCAAGGGCGTTGACTGCATTTGATTAAAAGTGTTGAAATTTGCAGATTTCCAATTTTTCACCGAGGGCTTTCATGAGCTGGTATTCTATTCAAGGTGAGACTTTGAAAAGATCTTTTTAAATGGGCTTGGGAGAAATTTTTTACTATTCAGTGCCTTTATCTTCCAAAAAAACTGTTACTGTTTAGATTAGGGCCTTATTTTTGTATTTCGATTGTGTATTTGAGTGATTGATCATGCTTCCTGAGTCGATTTGCCTTTTGACAACATGTGTGTTATTGGTTATTGGTATTCTACAGGTCTTAGAATTCGTAAGCTTAGATGGATTTCTTGCTATCACTCACACATTAATCCAGTTCTCGCTCTCCACTTTATGAATTTCCATGTAGCTTTTGTTTATAATCTTCTTTTTGGTTGCTGAGAAGGTGGTGTTTTCTATCTTTAATGAAATCCACCAAATGAATATTACCAGTTGTATAACTCTATCTGTAACTTGAACTATTTATCTTCATAATTGTATATGGCATGGCATCTTTACTGGCTAATCGAATTCTCAAAACTATTCCTAATTATTATCCCCTACCTCCCCCCCCCCCCCCCCCCCNCCCCCCCCCCCCCCCCCCCCCCCCCCACCAAAACCAAGTACAGCACATGGTGGCCTATTCGACGGAATGAAGGTGGGGAAAGAGAGGAGTGATGGAAATACGAGTGACGAGGTAGAGAGGAAGCATGTTGGCATGATGCAGCAACAATATTATTGGTAGAAGACCGATCCCTTAATTTGATCCCTCATCCCACAAACGACAGCACATGACCACAATTCTACTAATGAGTGGTTTGCCTTGTGCTTCACCATTTATAATTGCAGTCTTCAATAACTCTATTCCTAATATAGGTTGAGAAGGGGATCTATTTTTTGTAATGGGGAGATCATGTGCTCGTAATTTATGGTTTCCGCGAGAAGTAATTACGGCCTATTCTACCGCTGGAGTCGTAGACATTCACCTTGGAATTAGTGGCTAGAAATGTTCAACCAAGTACGTTTGAGGTATCGTTAATAGTAAACAAGTTTTTGTTCGTGGTATCTTCGTAAGTAATCAGTAACATAAAAAACATTATATATATATATATATATATATATATATATATATGTGTGTGTGTGTGTGTGTGTGTGTGTCCAATTTGTCATTGCATTTTTAATTTGATTTTTGGAGGAAAGTTATAATGATATTGGAATGACTCTTTATCAGCAATCGGTAGCACCTAAGGAATACCCTGTTGCAGGAACTACTGCATTTCTTGTTCTACCATTAAGGAATGAAGGGGGGGGGGAAGAGAAGAGAATAGAAGATAATTTGAAAGAGACAAATGTTTTGGTTTTGATTAGCAGGACGAATTATGATATTCAGAGAGATGATTGGTTTTATGTTCTTTTCTCGTCGGATGAGTAATCAATATAAGAAATCGTTGAATAATTAATCAATATGTTAAAATTTCACATATACTTCTCTGGGTTATATTAGCTATGATCCTTCTAATAAAGAAAAGCAAAGCGTTAATGATTTTTCAAGGGTCCTGTTGCTGCCTCACGCTCCTAGAGCGTGGCTCTGTGTGGGTTTGCAATTCAGTTTTGTTTCGCTGAAGAAGAGATCTGGATCAGATAACATTGTTTTCGCGTATACAATAAATCTCTAGTCAATGTATGATATGATTTCTATTTTTACTAGCTTAGCTAAATTACTGTAATAAAATATAACTTCGAATATGATTTGTGCCATTTTACTCTCCAATGGATCCCTTCATATTCATTTATTTCAAATTTCAGGCATTTTGATAGTTATCATTAGCCCTTTAGTTGACTTCGGGCTTCACAGAAGGGAGGAACATTAAAGTGAGAAAAATTCGACAGGGGGAAAGAAGAGTGATTCACAGATGTAACAGACAGACACAAAGGGAGAGAAAAGGCTAGATGAGTACCGTGAAAGGGGTCGAATATGACATACAGTAGGGTCATGGAAGTTTGAAGTCAGAGGTCAACTGCCAGTTAATAGACTTTTTTGCCGTATGAATATACGTTGCCCAGAGTACACCACGTGGAGGTAAGTCTATCCCTTCATAATTATTCTTATTTGAATTCGTACTTGGTTGGCCAATAACATCACAGACACTTTCCCAGTTGTATTCTTATATATCTGGTACAATTATGGAATTCTAATAATCGTTGATTTCGTGCATAATACATAAAGCTTATGCGTTTGCCCAGTACAGTCTGACTTTTAATTATCATTTGTTCAATTCTATCCATTTCTGATCATTCTATAGGCATGGAGGAAGATCAAATGCCACAATTGACCTAAACAGTCGAATCTAAAGAATTATTTAAAAGTAACTTCAACTAATGACTTCTTCACATTCAAATCTTGAAGCGCATTTGAATTTATCGGCACTTTATGAAGTTGGGAAATAAATTGACCTGAGACGAAGGTGGTCATGGATCTTTGCAAAAGTTATTTTCACCACTATCTTTGGGATTTATAAGATGATTAAATCCAGAGCAGTCTAAGATTGGTTAATGAGAAAGTGAGCCTTCCTTTTAAGAGAACCAAATAACATTTTTTTGGAATAGAGAGGTTATTTAACTTAGTGGCATTATAAAGCTAGAAATAGTACTCCATTTGATTTTCGTTTCAGCCGCTATTCTGAAATACGAGAACAATGTGATGAACATCAGACAATTTAACTGCTCCTCCCATCCCTATTGGCTGCCTAACTTCATGGACGTTTTCACCTGGTCGTTGCCCTTTGTCGGAGAAAAGGGTAAGCCATCTTCTTCTTGTGTTTTTATGCCTTCATCTGTAGCTCATTTGATTTTCGAAAAAATTGCCGATACTGAAGGATTGGATTATTTCTTTCCTCCTTCCACTGGATTCTTATAACTGGGCAATAATTGAAATATTGGGTGAAGAATTAGTGATAATCGAGAAAGGAGGTGGTGATTCGATTATTTTGACGCCTACCAATCAAAATTATCATTAATTGCAGTGTTTGATCATGAGGTTAGCTAGGCCTTCATAATCGTATGGGTTTTGTCCAAGAATCCCCCTCCCCTCCCCTCCCATTCACTTGTTCTCTGATCTCTTCTGCAAAATATTTATCATTTTTCTGCCTCGTTTGCTCGGTCTTCATTCTCTTTATAGTACATTAAAAAGGACAACATCGAACTATGCAAAAGTACATACCTCCACACATGACCATGTCTTTCTCTACATACTCCCTACCTCTCCCCTCATTTAAGGCACTTTTGGACTTTTTTTAACTTGGAGGGACGAAGCCAAGATTGACCGTTTTGGTTGGTTGGACTCTGGTGTTATAGGCAGGAATGGAAACAAAGACAGTGGGGGAACGTAGAGTTAGTGATATCTGGAGTTACGAAGTTAGCATCTGGGGCCATTGATGTTATTGAATATTTAAATAGGAATAAAAATTTGCTAAATCCGTCGATAGTAATGCTAACAACAAGGGAAAGATTCTGGAACTGCTGGGACGAGAAGTTTAGTCGTCATTAACCAGTCCGTTTGGTCACGCGCGTTATTGAATATGCCCGATTTTGGGCAATCATTATGTGTATAATCGTTTAATATGTTGAATAATTCATTGGATGTTGATGAGATTTTTTTATTGTTTAGGGGGATGTAAAACTTTTATTCTCGCAATTTTTGAAATATTTTTTTGGGGCATCTCTTCTTTCCTATCCTGTTGTCCTAATTTTTGTAGTTTCCTACATTGGTATATCAGTCAAGACAGGAACATNGGGGTGGGGGTGGATGCCTTATTTTGCCAGTCTGTAATTCTGCCTTGTGTGTTCTCATAAGAATATAACTTTCAGCACTCATAGCAAGTAGCGCGTGATGGATCAACTTGTGTGTAGTGGTTATTAGCTACCTCCAATGGTTTATCAAAATTGGTCTCTAGTGTTAACATGTATGCCGCAGTTGGCACACACGCATACTTGGCTTAATGCTTGGTTTGCATGACTTGATTTCTGCTTAGCGATGGCACAAATAGACACGATGTTTGAAATGATAGCCACCCGCAGTGATTTAATATTGAACTTGATGGACATTGGCTGGTAGCCAAATAATGAATTGCCGACAGAAGGGATTAAAGGCTTTCGGTGTATAGCAAAGTGTTTAATTAGCCATACCTACCTCCCATGACTAATAACTCTAAAATATCTTTAGGATATGTGAAGCAGGATAAGCTTTTAGATGATCGATTCTATTCTAATCCCCAATTTTTGTTGGGTAATAGGGATTTTATGTATTTGTGATGGAAACTTTTAGTAAGTGAGTACTATGTGAAATTTGGGCGGATATTTTCGATGTCCTTAGCGGAATGCATAAAATTCTGCCAGCGAAGTTCGTTCTCCGAGACCCGGTTTATTTGCTTACCTTCTCCCCATTATCATGCCCAGTTGGCCAGGCAGTCCGCTATAGAAGCTATTACATCATTTTTGAAGTACAGGTCCGTCTTCTTAGTCTGTCTAATTAGTCCTAGTTCAGTCTCAATAAGGACGTCTGTTTATAATACAGCAGCTTACTTATTGTTATGACAACTTAAGATTATTGAATATTTTTATTCATTTTGCGTGGATGTATTATTTGATCTTCCCTCTAGATTGCATCTTTTAGAGTTATTCAGCCATATTAGCACTTCTAATCACCTATTGGAATTTTAATTCCAAAATGAAAACGAAAACAAATTTTGGCCAAAAAACAATAGTTATAAAAGTTGCGGCTTGGCACTCATTGGAAGAAATTAGGCCGGCTAGAATTCGTGAGTGAGTGAAAGTTAGAGATTGTAACAATTGATCGGTCTTCCTTGTCAATTTTATCAGCAACCAACTACCCTACTTCCTTAATTTTTACTATTGTTGGTGAGCATTATAACAAGCCTTTCAGCCCCAATGCCGCCCGGTGGGTGTGGGAATGATGGCAGATATGTGGAATAGGGAGAAGGTATAGGGGATGTGAAGTGGACACCATCTTCTACCACTCCTCATTTTGACGTCACTCACCTTTACTTCGTTTACTCCTGCTGGTAAATCCTCTCAAGTTTTCTTGACTGTCTATTCTCATTCCCTGATCTCTCAGTTTCGCTTGAATGAACTCTAGGTTAATTTTAATATGAATAAGCTATTCAATATTAAAATGGTAGTAAAGAATACTCCTTGCTGGTGCTAATTTGAGCCCAGTTTATCCAAAGAAACGGCTAATGTTAGTCCTTTATAAAAAAGTACATTTCGTGCCTTCGGGCATCTCTTCATCTTCATACTTCCAGTGTAGTACTATAACTTATAATGGCATAGAATTTGCAAGTTTTAATTGTGGAAAAGAATCTGATTGGAAGAAAACAGAAAACGAGTCAAATAAAGTAGGTGACTGTTTTTGATCTACTCGTCTCTCTGGAACGCCATAATCATCAACTCTTAGGTACTCCAAAAAGGTTTGCCCAATGCATAAATAACATCCTGCAAGAAATTTCACATCAAAACGATCCTAAACCACAATGTAAAACAAGACAGGTCCTCGTATTCAGTATGCCGATTTGTATTATCCAAAATTTAAGAACATAATACATATATATTTTAACAATTTCATTAGAATACTTAGAAGAATAGGGTAGCTTCAGGTCTAGTGCGTTCGGAGAGTATAATTTTACCGTATTCCCCACTTAAATTCTAACGAAGTGTCCACATAACACATTTGAAAGCAGCAGCATGTGGTTATTAGAGTTTTGTTGCACATAGGGAATATTGAGAGGGGGGAGGGGGGTGGAGGCAATTTTGCATTATTATTTTTTAATTTAAATTTTAAAGAATGCTCCAAGTTATGGATAAATTATAGGGTTCAGGAAGCAGTTATTCGGGTGCAAAGATATTGACGGATCATTACGGAAATGCACTCTCACATGGCTATAAATACTATCAAGAACTGTCATACCATAAGTCCAATTTTTTTGACTACATCCCTTTAATGACTATTTTTTTTACTTTTAAGTAAAATTCATTTTGTTGTTTTTCATTATTGATTTCACGCTAACGAGTCGATAATTGTTTGCCTCATTGAACTATCATCTTTCCTGCCTTCTTTCCGACACATTTATTCGTCGTATTAATTTTTTTATATATTCCTCATTTACCTCTTTTGTCCTTTTACGATTCAGCACTTTTGTTGTGCTTTGTCCCTCTCTGTTTTTTGTTGTTGCTTAACTTCGTTATCTTTAATTGGCCCTAAACAACATTTATAGGTCAATTTAATGAGCTTCTCCTTTTAAATCTGTTTATGAATCAAGAGACTTGTCAAGTTATGCTAATTAGAATTGGTCTGGACGTTGCGGTTTTCAAAAATCGTGTTCGCTTCGAAGTCTATGTGGAATTTGGTTGGGAATCCTGGTCATCTAGTTTTGTATTCTCCCCCCCTAGAAAGCTCTAGTGGGCACAAAGTGGAAGCGATTTAATAAATTCATTAAGAGGGATTAAGTGAACGAGAGAGCGAGGTGTGGGGGGGGGTGAGAGAATTAGTTGTCGCGTTTTATGCACACGCAAGAATATAGTTGGCGTTTCACCTTTTGCAAACCGTTCATTTTTTTACCTTAGTTCTCCTTCCGAGCTTTCGTTATTTATATATTTGTCATTAAAATGAAAGAGGGAAGTGGGAGAATGGAAAGGGACCGTGGGGAATTAAAGTTTCAATTGTCTAATCCATATAGGTAGTCGTTTGATCTGTCATGTAGAACAATGCCTTTTTGGAAGGGTAGTTTCTACGGGTGAAAACTCATTTTCACCTTTTCCTCAGACAAGAATAGCCCATTTTAATCATGTTATATAAGTATTATGCAATTGTGATTGGAATGTTTTTCTTTTATTCAAGTTACCGAGATGCTGGTGAACGTGTTGAAGATCTGTTCAGACGACGAATTGCTCTCAGATGCCGATGACACATTTGAAGGTGCGTTTTTCCTTATCATTTATGTCGTGGCAAATATATCTATATCATACACCAAAAATGTATATTCTTCCTTACTGAGCCACGTTCTGAGGTTTTGTGTTTGTGTGTGTCCCCCTCTTAGTGCCGCAAACAGGATTAACGTTGAATTCTCCAGGTAAGAGGGAATGTGGGCCGGGCTCAGGTCAGTCGGCTCTCTATAATGCCCTCTAATTCCCTACCCCAGCCCATCCATATTTCTCTCATCTAATGCGCTCACCCGCTCTACTTAGCCAAGCTAAGCTCAGCTCAGCTCTCTTATCCTCCTCTGGCTGCCACTCTTATTCATTTGGCCTTATTTTCGGCTCATTGATCCCAAATCAGCGTCGTGCGCTTTTCCCACATGCGATTCTTGCGCATGGCCTTTGTGGTTTTTTTCTAGCGTGCTGGCTCGCGCTCATCCCCACCCTAGCACCCTCTTCATCATCACTTCTTACGCTGCAGCCATAATAACTTTAAACAACTCCTCTCCCCCACCCCGAAATTTACTATATTGTGCTCGTCGACTGGTGATTATAGCTCACTATAATATCACTGTAAGCGCGGCTTTTTCTGATAATTATAAATGGACTTAGGTCATATATATATATAGTCGCACTGGTTTCGTCTACCATATAATATCGTTTATGTCGTACTTTGCCAGCTCTTAGATTATTACACCGATCTTTGAAGAGTCAAGGCCGCAATCGTCAAGACTTGACTACTATCACCCTCTTTGATGATTAGTTTTTTGGGCTTGCATTGGTGGTAGGTTGTTAGGCTGTTTTAGAATGTTGGTCTCCCTTTTTTTGTTTGTTCGTTGGTTAGTAAGTTTTAATAACCAAATCCACATGCTAACTATTTTGTTCTCATTTGGTGTTAACAGAAGGTGAGTTTAACCCCTTACTCCAATCCCTTTCCCTCACCTCTAAGTTTTCACCACAAGCACCTTAATCTCTGCCTTATTATTTATATATCCTATCTTATTTGATTTTCGTTTGCTATGCATGTCTTTTCCCACCTCACGTACACACCCTTTGATCTTTGTTATTTGTTCGTTTTGCAATATCGATGTGAGTGGTGCCAATGTTCTTTGTCGGCTTATTGATGGCACTGGGATTATTTCATTCGTCATGCAAGCATCAATTACTCTCTTTCAAAGATAGTGTCCATTCTAACTTGGTTGGGATTGGTCGGCTCCACAGTGGGAAGGGTATTCTCATCTGAAGACGCCAATCACTTAAATATTAGCCAATTCTCGCGACTGAGGTAATTACGTGCCTATTTATTGATTGATAGTGTGATGTGAAGCCTGCAATATAGTTGGAATTTCGTCTGTTGTAGAACTTGAGGTAGATTGGATATAGTGATGGGACTGGAACGCCCAAGTTCTAAATGATTTCATTCGGTACTGCTGAAACAAAAATAGCTGTTTGATCAGCCCAATGAGAATACATAAACGATTATTTAAAGCGCTTTATGCGTATGAGGACAACAATCTAGATGGCTTCTCAAATTTTATTGTCGTACTTTCACATTTTCAATTTAAGTTACTAGTTGAGAATTCAGGTCTAGCATTCTTTGTGTTTCCCGGTCTTGTTTCTACGTAATTCACTAAGTTACACGTCGCTGGAACAGTTTATTGAGGATCGACATAATGATAAAAATGTTGACTTCTAACTTGGTACAGCCTAATATGTACCTGTAATGAAACTGCTGATTTATTTAGTATATGATCGTATATGGGACGGTCAATCAGATTGGGCAAAATAATTGAATGACCGATTTAAATCGTGTATCGAAGCCACTTACGCCCCTATCTATGTTTGTCCAACCGGAAATTGTTAATTTGCTTACACTCGTGGAGGAAGAGGGATTAAACAAAATGTCAGTATGTGAATTTGTGTCGTTATCTGATGGTTTTAATCGCTCCACTGAAAACGATGTACTTATAATGGCTATGAAGTTACGCAAATGCACGGGTTCGTACTTTCAGTGGTTTTTCCCCCAAACTGCTTACTGTCTTTTTACTTGCGTGTATTTTATTTTATTTTTGTCAGTTGTTTCGTTTTTACACTATATTCACTCAACCATGGTGTTTACGTGTGCTTTTGTTTAATCAATATTGTTTATATTTATTTTCCAAGATTTATTTATCTGCTTTTCCTAACGGATCACTCACTCACACACTCTCACTCTCTCCCTCTATTTCCCATTACTTATATTTCACTCCTATCTACTTATATGTATTTGCGCTGCCTCCTCCTCCTTGTTCTGTGGACATTTCTGTTTTGCCCACCTTATCTCGATATTTTTACCCTATATTTTTTTCTTTCCTTTTTTCATATTTCGCGAATTAGGTGGAACAGTAGCAGCCCGGAAAGAGGTTATCAGAAACAAGATTCGGGCGATTGGCAAAATGGCACGTGTCTTCACTGTCCTAAGGTTTGTGTTTTTTGTTTCTTGCTTATTTGTCTTCTCCTCGTGACTTTGGCTGCTTGCTAAACAAAAGGAGAGGTGGCCTCGAAAAGGGACAATTATTCTGTACTTGTTTTTTTTCTTATATCCGAGCGATCGTATGATCTGTTGAAGTATGAATGGCCAATAAGTTGCCACCTACTCGTGTTAATTGATGCTTTTGGGGGGAGTTTGTGTGATGCTGCTACAATGGATTGACACCGTTGTGGTGGTAATAAGTATTGAGTTGTTTTTTTTTGTTATCCTTGGAATGAATAATTTATTTGATGAGAGGATAGTTCCCGCCCCCTCCTTTGATGCTTGTACACACAGGGGAGAAACTGTGTCAGAGTTGCAAATAATGAGTTTTTGTTGCCATCGCAGCTATTCTGAATTTGGGTTAGGCAATGTCTGCCCCTATGTGTATATTGTCCCCTTACGGGAAATGGGAGATGAAAATTTAATTTTGCTTTAACTTATTTCAATTGGAGTGCTTTTGGATACATATTTCTTGACGTTTACTTTCACTAGTCAAGTCCTGTGGAGATTGAATTTAGACATTTCCGCTTTAAAGTACACCTTAATTACATTATCTGAATTAATATTTACAAAATAAATGATTCAGTATTTTTTTCAATTTTTCACTCAGGTCATATTACATACTTTGTTAGCCATCGGTGTTTATAGTAATCGTAAAGTGACTCCTCGCACATTGGTAATATTATAATCTTATATTAATGAATAAGTCGTTGACGAGGTCACGTGTTTAATATGTATTGAGGTACATTCATTAAACGGTTTGATTAAAGGTTTAAGTAGATACTGGTCTCTTGACTTTGAGACACTAAAATGCAAATCCTTTGAGTAATATGAACGCTTGGGACTATTTACTTTCAATGGACTCTGTTTTAACTAGTTATCCTAGTTATATTACCCGAGAGGATGAGATAGTTATTCAACAAGAGAATTCAATATCTTCAATTCTAGAAACGGGAACTTACAAGCAAGTGGATGGACTTCATCACTTGGACACTAGGTTATTTGATTGCTGCTCTTACATGCTCAAACTTGGCAATAAAGTCTCGTCATTGCTACACTTCTGACCAATTAATCTGCATTTGTATAAAACCATTAGGCCGTTATACCCTCGTAGTGACATAGTACTTTTCTGCTAGGTTTTATAAAATTATCTAGATAACCACGGAGGCCTTGATTTTATCCGTTGTCACTTACCGTTATTCCAATAGCTCCGATAACAATGAGAAAGTTAATAGATTACACATACATGTGGGACTTGTTTAGGTTTTCTTAGTTGTGAGCTCGTCACATCATTGCCGATAATTAAGGTTTTTTCTATTTTTTTTAATATCTCCATTGACTTCACTGACATTAAAGTAGTTCTTTAGGAATTCGATTGCCTTTCCATTAAGCTACAACTTTCAAAATTTGCAGTGGAAAAGTAAATAGATCCGCGGCTTAGTAAATTGGTTGACTACTTCGTCAGTGTTGGCAGGAATGGGCTCCTTGTGTAGTAGGATTCCAATAATCAATAATTAGTATGTGAGGAATGAATTTACGGGTTTGCTCTTTGTGTGGCCGGCCGAATGCATCCTTATTTTCATTATTCTCAAAAAACACTTTTGTGGCCAATATCACTCTGAATTATTGAGATTTCAGATGTTCAACTTCGGATGTACTAATAGGGCAAGACATCGTTCACTACATCTGAAGTTGAAAGTAAGAATTGCCGTAGAGCCTAAACTTTACTTGAGAATGTATACGGCTCTCAACTTTTACTTGCGTCGCATTCGCAATCTTTTAATGGGAATTTAAAATGAAACTAAAAATAGTTGAAAATCAATTTCTCTTTCACGTCAGTTGCTATTCACAACTTGATCATATTTTGCTTGCTTCCAATGTCAAATCAAATTGAAAAAGTATTGATTTTGCTCCATGACAGTTTTCTAATTTAGTCTTAGAGGGTTTGTTTCATTCTTTTTTATTAGTTATGATATATTATCACCAAAACGCTCCTTCAAAGCTAATCTATCTTAATTTACTTGCCAATTTACACTGGTTACCGTAAATTACAAAAGGTTTCCCGTTACTAATTTCTTGCCGATCATGCTTTTTACCTTTTGTCCCTTTAACACAACGATCCCACTCCAAGACACAAGGAAATGAACATTTGCATTAAAGTTGTGTTTTAAAGCTGGCCTGCCTAGTTATAAATAACAGTAGAAACAAATTTGATTGATGTTAATGTAATTTACAAATTAGGCTTTTAAGGTGTATACTGGTGTTCTTAAATTTAGGGCCTAGTTATTTCGATTTTAATTTAACACCTAGTCTAGTCGAAAATTGCCCTCACCGCTGTGTTTCGATTTTCACCCAACGGCGGTCTATTCGACGACTACATCTATGTAATCTACTTTGATCTCATGTTTTGTGCTCGTGTTAAATAAACAAACCTTTTCATGTTTCACTCAGTTGTTTCATGCCCTCCATTTGTGAATAATTTGATTTTTTTCACGAAGACCGTGAATAACATTATCCCATGACATAGTATGAGAGGAAAGGAGAAACTCCTGCCAAATGTCGATGCTCTATGATTGGCGTAAATTTGTCAGCATAACAGCAGCAGTTATTATAAAAGCAGGATATATGAGAAAAGTCACCCATTAGTAATGTCAGCATAAAATGTTTACCACTAGTGTAGAGGGTGTTAGACTGGTTTGTGTTAATTTCCACGTTAGAATGCGTTAAATCAGGAGGTTTGCTTTCCAGCTCACCTGTTGTCTAAAGTTGCATGACCTTTAATTGGTGTCCTGATTCTATTTTTTTGTGTTATAGAGAGGAAAGCGAAAGTGTGCTGGAGTTGAAGGGCCTGACGCCGAATGGAATGCTTCCGTTTGGAGCCCTATCTGGTGGTCGGGATACTCTTCTCACTGGTACGTGACGTTTTCGTATTACTTTTCTATGAATACCATTAACTTTTTATGTAAATATTTAAATTTAAAGCAAATGGCAGGCGTTTTGATGGTTATCATTAGCCCTTTAGTTGACTTCAGGCTTCATAGAGGGGAGGAACATCAAAGGGGAAAAAGTCGAGAGTGGGGGGGGGAAGAACAGAAGAGTGATTCAAAGATGTAGAAGAGACAGGCACAAAGGTAGAGAAAAAGGTAAAATGAATACTGTGAAAGTGGCTGAATATGACATACAGTGGGGTCATGGTAGTTTGAGGAGGTAAGTCTATCGCACACCCCTTTATGTAAATATTATATCCGGAGTCTCGTATTCACTGATTTGAAATCTGTGTTCGAAATTTGAACGGCGTAGGCTTCTTTTACATTCCAAACCTCCTAATGCATTCCAGCATTCAACTGAAGATTACTATCGAAGATAGATTAATTTCAGTTCCGTTTCTCTTTCTTCAGGTACCTCTTCGCAATTTCACTAGTTAATTTGATAACAGTCGAAGTGTGCCAACATATGTGATTTATAATTTTGAGATGAACACTGAACAAGTGGAAATTGTTTGATTACTTAAAGACAATGGTTAGATCAACGGAAGAGGTAGAAGAAATCCATATTAAATACGGGATAACAAATCATTTAAGGAATAAATCTGTAACAGTATTTATCAAAACGCACTTATTCATTCTCATGGAAACGTAATAATTCATCATGCGTACATGTCCTTGTCTACGTTCTCCGTATTCTTTTGATTAACTCGCTTCTCATGAAGGTGAATACCCCAAGAAGTTGCTGGGAGGAATAGTAAATATATTTTATTTGAGCTGCGGGATTAAAATTAGCGACCAGCAGCAAATTGGCACCATTATTACGCCACTTTCGGATCTGTATTTTAAGGAGAGGGAGTTAGGGGTGTCATTAAGCCCAGCCCTCCCCTAGTTGTCAACCTTGTCACATCTCGACATCTAGAGTGCTTGCGACTATTTCCCCTCATGCAAATTTGTCCAGAGTGAAGGTCACGTCCAGGGATAGAAGTGAATCAGTGTCTCCTTGTCCTTTAAAATTTCAAGCCAGTTGGGGAGGAAGGAACTTCTATTGGTTAGGTTAAATTTAGCAGTCCATAATTTTCTGCTGTCAGTAAAATTTCGGTCGCTGAAATTTCATTAGTGGTATCCGTGTTTAAATATTACTGATTGTTAGAAAGGCACCACTAAGACATTAATTAGTTGCATCTTATCTCACATTTTTCAAGTAGAGGGGCTGAAATCGCTTGTTTATATTCATGATATATTTGAAATCGATGGGACGCCGGATTTTCGTAAATGATACCTAGATACTTTGATGTTGAAATTTAATGGAAAAAAATCGAATCTAATTGGTCAAATTATTATTTACTTGTTTGAAAGGAGCCTTAAGTGAAATTATCTAGTTAAATTTGATGTAATCTGCCCTAGTTAATGCAAAAAATTCTATTTTATCAATATTTGCTAGCATTAATACTAATGATTAGAATGTTTGTTTTGAATAGGCAGGTTTATAGTTAGTCTGTTTTTAAAGAATTAAAATACTGTTGAACTTCATTGTAAGTAAACTAGGGCAATAGAACCTTAAATGTTTTACCCAGAATTAATTCCGGAAATGACGGCTGAACTGACAATAATTAGTTCATGTCCCAATGTAATTCTAAAACCCATTTTCGTATTTCGTAGCACTGTGTGGAGTCGCACCGTATCATAAGATAACATCATTCGAGGAGGCTAAAGCGATCGATTTGATTAACGAGAGAATGCCACCACGACACGACCTTTCAGCAACTTCAACGAATTCAACCACCACGGCAGCTGCTGGAAATTCTTCCTCGAGTCGTTCTCGTATGGGTACAACAAGCTCCACAAAACATCACTCCCAACCCCAAGCTCCACAACAGAACAGTGGAGCAAATGGTGAACGGGGTTCTAACACGTCCTCGTCATCACAGCACCATCACCGTCATCGCAAGTCATCTGTTAATGCCCAGGAAGCATCTAGCAGCCCTGGGAGTGGTGGTGGAATGAACCTGGATCACCGTCATCGATCTCTTAACTCTTCTTCCTCCTCCCCTCGAAATTCCACATCTGTCACTGCCGCCAACCCCGCGTCAAACACCTCTTATTCGAATTCTGGACGTCTTGGGCGCTCATCAAATAGCGGCAGTTATAGATGATATACCGCCGCTGATGTGTCCTAAAACCGCCCTTTGCTCTCCTGACATCTTTCTTGCTCTTTCTCTCCTTTTCGTGTGTTTGTCCCGGATTTTATTTTTATCAACAGCGGTTTGTATATTGTGTGATTATTATTACAACTGTTATCATACGCTTTTCCTCTCCCTCTTGTTTTCTCTTTTCCCCCTCTCCTTCATCTCTTCTGATGGTATTTATTTCACCCGGAAATGTACTTTCTGAAGGAAAGACGCTGGCTTAGTCTTTCTGCTGACGACGTGTTAAATTTTTCTTGACAAATCCCCTTGTTATTTGCCTTCCATTTTGAGGTGATGACGGTGTTTATTTGTTGACCTGAATTGGCCTTTCCTCTCTCTCCCCCTCTCTCTTTGTCGCGAATCTTCCTTGTCGAAACAGTGGAGCGAATCCTTCAGTCCACCCCAAACTGACGAAAGATGACGAAATTAAATATGAAGAAGCATCTTCGTTAGATATTTATTTGGAAATGTGTGCAACTCTCCCAATTACTCTCCACAATATCCATTCAATGAACCAATCGACCGAAGTTGTCGACCTAATTAGCCAACCTCCTTTGAGACCTATGAGGGAAGAGGTGCACATTCTTTTTGTTTTCCTTTTACTTTTCACTCCGTATAACTTTTATTTCTTTATCTCTTTTTTCTTTACTACGATCTCTATATTCTCCTTTTCTCTATCTTTCTGTGAGCTCATTTAAACAAATGAAAACAAAAATTTTCTTGTATGACGGAGGTTTGGGATTCGGAATCGTACTAAAAATTCGTATTGGCTGTAGTGGGGGGGGGGGGGGGGGGGGGGGGAGATGGGGGTACATGCGAAGGTTTTAACTTTCGTACAGTCTGTAGATGAATGGCCTTCTTTTAGAAATTTCTACCAATTTATCTCAAATGAAATGAAGCTAATGTCTCTTCAAGTCTTGCAAACCTTAATTCTAAGAGAAAAGGATATAGACGTAAGTAGGAAGCTTATCATTGGAAGTAAACAGGCACATGACTGGCGTGGTGACAGCAATTCCAATAGGCCTTGGTTAGATGACGAGGAAAAGCGATTGTAGGCTGAGTAATTAGTTCTGCGTAGAACCCAGTGAAGGAGGTACTTTCCGAAGTAAGTTAGAGGTGGTTATTAGTACGGAAAGCGATGGTGATCGTTAAAGGTACTGTGTGTCAAGTTACATAATCGAGTAAGAATATTTTCTTTACCTAAAGGTAAGGCAATATAGAAGTTATATGCAATAACATAGACTGAGCTGACTGAGCCCTTGCTTCGGTAGATAAACGCTAATGTGCTTTGATTTTCGGAGGTGTTTTACGTTTTCAAATTCCCTAGCTTTCTTAATAAAGTATCTGTTCAAGAGAGAATGGAGTAACTATCAAATTGGTCGAAGGATAGCGTGATTCAGCGGCATTTCAAAAGTTGGAAGGAGGGTAGAGGTGCTTAGAGAAATATTGTAGAGGTGTGGGAGGAGAGAGGAAAAGAAATGGAAGTAGAAAACGAATTTGGAACAAAAAAAACAATGGAATGGCGCCAGGGAAGCGTATATGGCAGGGGGAATGCAAAATAGCCAAATGAAGGTACGCAAAGTATTCCATGAGCAGCCTAATTTAAATCTTCTTAAAGTCAGAATTGCGCAGTCATATGAGCTAAAAGTTCAGCTCAGTAGGACGCTCTTGGTGTATTTAGTAAAAAATGGCAATCCACATAAATCTCACAAATGGTCTCTAATTGAGCTTGACGCCTTAACGTAGCCCAAGTCGAGAACTCTTCTGGTTCAATTAAGGCCAGGTTACATCACGAATACAGGAGTGAATTGATATCTTCAAATATTATTTACTCTTAATTCTAGTTAACGCATTTTTGAAGTTTTATATCTTACCAAAATTCCACATCTTTGATAGGAAATTCAACTGACAGTTTTCCAAGATATAAGGAAGAAAGTGAAGTCACAACGCAGGAAGAAATGTATGTCTTACGTGCATATAAGAACATTAGACAGTTTTGACAAACTGATTTTGGAAAGTGGAAGATAACTTGGCGATTTATAAATGGAATTTACTATTAAATCCGAAAGTGGCTAATAGTCATTGCAGAAATATATGTCAAACGAACATGGATTAATGAGACCGCCTGGTTTTAATACTATGAATTCTAGTAGTCCATGCTATGTAGACTGATTGAAGCTGTCTTCCATCCTCGTTGGTAAGCATGAATTAAGTTGCTGTGACCTGATACCAGAGCAGTCACTTGGACAGGAATTTGCTAAGTCATCTTGAGGATACAATTTATATTTGTTGGATGAAAAATGCTTAGAATCCAAAGAAATAGTAAATTAGCAATCACTGTAACCAAGGCATCTACTTCACATATTCCTATCACACCTACTTTCATTGGCGTGCCTGCAAGGATAAACTTTGATGACTTAAAGTTCCATTACTCAGAGAATATATGAACTGGCACAATTCATGCGAGTTTCACCTCACATTTATTCTAACGCTATGATCACACGCCTGCGTTGCAACATATCTGAACTCATATCTCAATAGACCCAATTTATGGCACTGAACAGAAAATGTCTACACCTCGTATATACTGCTAAGTTGACACTCCCCTCAAGATAGTCCTTCCAAGCAGTATTAACGGAAAAAAATATTAAAAGTGAGACCAAAAGGTGGCTGTTGCTACTGGTCTTTATTGGAACTCCGATCCTCCCACAGTTTTGGCCATCTTGACCACTTTTTTTGAACGAATGCTTTTCTGGGTTCAATCCGATAGACATTGGTGGATGATAAATGTAAAGAATTCGGGAAACATAGTCTTGACAGATCTGTTTCCTGTTGAAATCGGGCAGTATCAGAAGCGGTTGCAAAATCCAAACAAACAAACGGCTACATTCAGTTCTTCCCAGAATCTCTTTTGTGATCTCAAACCAGACCTAGCCCTGGAAACCCTCGTAGTATCCTAGTAGATTTATATTCAAAGAAGTTTAAGTCTAACTTCTTAAGCCTGCCACAACGCTTCCTTAATTATTAGCCTCTGCCAGGTATGCACCACTCATGGCATACCAACGTTGATTATGTCCACGGATATTATCCTGCTTTGCCCTCTCAAGTTGATAGCTTTTGTCGCTATCTTCATGTCACTAATCTGGGTTTAGATAAGAGGTGGATTCAACCAAATTCGTGGATTGACAACTTGCTCTAGATGTTGGATAAAAATTAGGAATTTATATGCGATTGAATGTTGAAATATGTTCAGTTACATGGTCGTTCCTTTGAAGAATTTTGACTGAATTGATGAAGTTTGCTTAATTCTGCCTTATTACTGGGTTCGAGTATTTAGGGCTTTTTAATAGGCTTATTAGATTATTAATATAACATAAACTTGTGAATTAATCATTTTCTAAAATGTATGCCCTGGAACTTATAAAAAGTCCTTCCGTGAAAAATTATAAACTTGCGTGTCTTACAGTGAATTAGCGTTGACAATAACATACGAAATCACATTTATAAATTTGCTTATGGCATTTTGGTATTGTATGCCCTGAATTAAACATTGGCTTAATTCAAACAAAATTTGCACAAAAATAGACTGCTCAGTAAGTGTAATTCCCATATAAATCACAGAAGGTAAGCAAAATGCATTCTTTGGTAAGAATAGTTAGTTCCTCTGCCTTCCATGAACAAGATTAAATTTTTGTACTAAGAGAATATTTTACGAGCAACACACCTATGTAAGATTATGAGTCTACTCGCCCTACCTTTAAGCCTCTACTCAGTTGCGGCAATTGCTTTTTCAGAAATATCTCTTATGAAAGTGCAAAAAACCCTTTCACAAGTGTTATTATAAAGATGGAATTTGATCACGTGAATCAAGATCAGATAGGCGAAACTGCGGATTAAATATACCATTGTGAAAAAGGTTTTGCTTCATTCTGCACGAAAAGACTATTTAGTTTTATTATTTCCCACTTGCAAAATTTTAAAAAGTTGCAGTTTCACAAGTTGTTCATCAGATTTTTGGGAGATGGAAATCTCATTCTCGACCAAAGCAGTTCCCGATTTCCACGCCTGAGAACATGGTGTCTCCTAGTGATGTCAATTCTACTCACTTTTATGACATCAAAGAATTTGATTTGATTTTCATAACAAAATATATACGCAAATGATTTATAGAAGCAAATAATTAGATTTATTCGTCAATGCTTAAATAATTATATGTAATTCAATACAACTGAGCTTATTCATGTTCTTACGGTGAATTTGATGCATTGAAATGAAGTTAGTGCACCTAATATGCCTCAAAAACGTCAATGGATCATTAAATAGTGAAATAGCCATTTATTTTTCATTTTATTTACTGGAATTGTCACAATCTTCTGCCATAAAGAAATGATTTATACCACGCACGCTATTCAACCTAATGCTATGCTCAAGACAGGGTTTTGACAGGTTTATCATTTGTGGTTTTTCCTAACAAAAATAACAACAGGTTTCTAATCATGAATGCTCGATTTTGCTGCAACTAGTTAAGTTAGTAAGATTACGAATATAAAAAATACATATATGTCGCATTCAATTTACTCTGTATTGAGTATCAACCAGAATTCAAATGCTATTCACTAGGTGTAATGGCTCATTTTTTTACAGGAAGTCTCGTATGACATTTACAGACAGGCATATTCATTTGAGCTTTTTAAGTTTCAAGTATTTTTTTATCTTTTGTAAACAAGTTATCCCTTCCGGATAGTTGACGTATTTTTCAGTTGTGTGGCTATAGGAAGCCTTCCTTCTGTTTGAATTAAATGTTAATGGCACCTACTCAAATAATAGCTTTAGAAACACATCAGTAAAACCGTTAGCTTTGCAGTTGTTTTATTGAAATTATTATGCGATTGCAGATCCCAAATACAATTCTGGTCAATTTTGAATTCTTGTGCTCATCATATCTCCAACATTTTCTAAATATTATA